ATAGTATCTCACCAGGTAAAAAAAAATCAATAAAGAGTTAAAATTATCAGTAAGAACCAAATAGAAATTCTGGAGTTGAAAAATACAATAAATTAAAAATTCTCTAGACAAGTCACCAGCAGATTTGAGCTGGCAGAAGAAAGAATCAGCAAACTCAAAGATGGGTGAATTGAGATTTTGATGCTGAAGAACTGAACAGTAACAAAAACGAATGAAAAAACAAATAACAGCTTCAGAGACCTATGGGATATGATCAAGTGTACCAACATAATGGGAATACATGAAAGATGGGAAAGAGAGAGAATGGAAGAAAGAATATTTCAATAAGTACTGGCCCAAAACTTCTAAAATTTGATGAAAACCATTAATCCAAGAAGCTCAATGAATTCCAAGTTGAATTAAAGAGATCTACAAGGTAAACACATTACAATCAAACTGTCTAAAGCCAAAGGCAGAATCTTGAAAGTAGCAAGAAGTGACTCATCATCCTCAATAAGATTAATGACTGATTTCTCATCAGAAACCATGGAGGTCAGAAGTGAAATAACATATTCAAAATTCTGAAAAGAAAAAAACTCTGTTGACTGTAACTCTATATGCAGCAAAACTGTCTTTGAAAATAAAGGAGAACTCAGGATATTTCCAGATAAACGAAAGCTGAAAGAGTTCATCTCTCAAAACCTGCCCTATAGGAAATACTAAAGAGAATCCTGCAGACTAAAATGAAAGAAAACTAGAGAGTAACTCAAATCTATGTGAAGAAATAAAGAGCATAAGTGAAGGCAACTACATAGGTAAATATAAAACAACATAAGGTATTATTTTATATGTCACTTTTTTTCTCCAATCTGATTTTAAAAACAACTGAATAAAGCAATAATTACAAATTAGATGTGCACACATTTTATAAAGATATAATTAACATGACACCACCACCACAAAGGGGGTAAAGAAGCTAGGTTCGTATAAAATGTTTGTTTGTTTGTTTGTTTTTAGAGGTAGCATGTCACTATTACCCACGCTGGAGTGCAGTGGCACAGTCATAGCTCTCTGCAGCCTCAAACTTACTCACTCAGGCAATCCTGCTGCATCAGCCTCCTGAGTAGCTGGGACTGCAGGTATGCACCACCACACCCAGCTAAATTTTTTTCTGTATTTTTTTAGAGATGAGGGTCTCACTATGTTGCCCAACCAGGCTTCAAACTGTTGTACTCAAGTGATGCTCCTGCTTCAGTCCTCTTGCCTGAGCCACTTGAGTCACTGGGATTAGAGTCTAGGGCCACCACCCATCTGGCTTTAAATTTTTACTTGTAATCCAAGATAACCACTAAGAAAATTACTGAAAAGTATCTGTAGTAAAAGAAATGACATGGGAATTAAAATGATACACTAGGAAATATCTATGTAATACAAAAAGAATGTAGTCATTTAGGAATAGAAAAAGAAAACAAGACATAGAACACAGCTAATTGAAGTAAATTCTGCATTATCAGTAATTATGTTAAATATAAATGGATTAAGCACTCCAGTTAAAAGGTAAAAACATTGATAGAGTAGATTAAAAAACAATCCAACTATACTGGGTCTACAAGAGAGACGCTTTAGACTCAAAGACATAAAAAGGTTGAAAGTAAAAGGGTGGAAAAGATACATTACACAAAAGTAGCCAAAAGATACCTAGTGTAGCTATACTAATATCAAGTATACTTTAAGAAAAAATTATTACTAAAGGCAAGAGACATCTATAATATATATATGTCATTACATAGTCATATATATATATTTTATAGTTATATACTCTATAATTACCAGTACATCTCTAGAAAGACATAAGCTGTTGAAACTAACTCAAGAATAGAAAATTTTTAAAAATTTATAACAAGGATATTGAATTAGTAATCAAAAACTTCCAAAACACAAAAATCCCAGACCAGATAGCTGCACTAGTACATTCTGCCAGACATTTAAAGAATTAGCACCAGTCTTTCACAAACTCTTCCCCAAAAAGGAATAAGCATGAGGAATGCTTTCCAGCTCATTCTATATGGCCAATATTATCCTTATACTGAACCAAAGATATCACAAGAAGAAAAAATTACAAATCAATATCCCATATGAATATAGATATAAAAAGCAACAAAATAACAACCTGGATCTAGCAGCATGAAAAGGGATGAGATTCCATAACCAAATGGAATTTATTTAAGGAATGCTTGGTTAATTCAACATAGAAACATACTTACCAATCAAAGTAAGACACCGTCTTAACGGACATAAAGCACATGATATCTCAGTAGACACAGAAAAAGCAATTGTCATAAACCAGTAGGTTTTCATGATAAAAACACCGAATAAACTAGAAATAAAAGCAAACTTCATGAAAAAGGGTATCTCCAGACACCTGATAGCTGACATCATACTAAATGGTGAGAAACTGAAAGCTTTCCCTTTAAAATCAGGAACAAGACAAGGGTTTTTGCTCTTCCTACTTCTATTCAACATTGTCCTGGAGGTTCTAGGAATCAGGCAAGATTTAAAAGAAAAAAAGACTACCAGAATAAAAAGCAAGAAAACTATTTGTAAATGACATAATCTTGTTTAGAGAAAATCTTAAGAAAGACTGTCAAGGTAATAAACGAGTTCAGTAAAGTTGCAGGATAGAGAAAGAAAACATTTATAATAGTATCAAAAAGAATAAAATACTTAAGTATAAATTTAAGGAAGTGGATAAACAAAAGTGATATATCCGTTTTTAATGGATTGTAGTGGAGCATTATTTAGCCATAGTAAGGAATGCAGTACTGATATATGCTCCAAGGATGAACCTTGAAAATACGTTACGTGAAAGAAGCACAGATGGCGCATATTATATATCCCATTTATTTGAAATACATGAAATAGGTAAATTTGTACAGTCAGAAAGTAGATTCGTAGTTCCCAAGGATGAAGAGAAGACATAGGAGTGACTGTCAGTGGATAGAGTTTCTTTCTGGGGTGATGAAAATATTTTGCAATTAGGTGGTAATGATGGTTGCACAAACTTATGAATGTACTAAAAACCACTAAACTATACGCTTTAAAAATGTGAATTCTATGGTATGTGAATTATTTCTCAATTTTCAAAAATGTTGGTGCAAATAAAAAGACTATAAGGCTATTTATACAAATAGGTCTCTCAGTACTGGAATTCTTCTAAAATATCCTTAATAATGTATCTTTAATTGAAATGTTCAATGATAGTGTGGAAAGTCTTTAATATGTAGTTTTGTTCAACAGATTACACTCTTAAGCGGGTTTGGTGCACAAAAATAATTCATTAACATTTTTCATCTTTTCTACAATAATCTGTGAAAATTTATTTTTCCGTATATTTCTTGCCTGGTTTGTTATCCCAGGAACTAGGAGGGTTTTCTTTATGCACTAAGTAGAACTATTTATACATTGTAGTGAGTTCTGCATAGCCATCATCAGCAAGAGATATTATGTAATTACCACATTGTTACATTAGTTTAGATTAGGGTTTTTAGGTCTTGGTTTTCATTCAAGGGTTTGGGATGGTGGGGGGCGGCGGGAGGGTGGTGTTGGTGGTTGTGCTGGTTTGAGACAGTCTCTCTCTGTCACCCAGAGAAGCTTGCAATGGTGAGATCTCGGCCCACTGTAACCTCCGCCTCCTGGGTTCAAGTGATTCTTCTGGCTCAGCCTCCTGAGTAGCTGGGACTACCAGCATACCTGGCTAATTTCTGTATTTTTAGGAGAGCAGGTGTTCACCATGTTGGTCTCGAACTCCTGGCATCAAGAGACCCACCCATCTGAGCTTCCCAAAGTGCTGGGATAACAGGTGTAAGCCATCATGCTCAGCCTCAAGGGGCACATATTTTAGTTTAGTTGCATAATGGTTTCTTTTTAGATAATATAAAACACCAGATCTTTATGTGGTTAAAATGTTCTTTATGTATATTTATGATCCCAGGAATTTCTGGGCTCATAGTCAAATTTTTTAAAAGTGATATGTGATCTTTAACAGATTTTAGATTAGATCTCAACAAAACAAGTTTTTATATAAAAATTGCATGATGATCGTTCCTTTCCAGAAAATTTCAGTGAAGGTCCTGAACATGGCTGTATTCTATTCATTGGTGGTTCTCAACTTTTTTTAAATTCAGTATATCAAGTTTATTACATTCAAGTGTAATGCTTCCATTAATGTTGTCTTAAGTTTGTCTTGTGAAAACGGAACAATCTCTTAAGATAATGTACTGTACACACACACACACAATGTGTGTGTGTGTGTGTGTGTGTGTGTGTGCATACACAAAGTATTAGCAACCTTGCAGAAACAAGAATTAAGTTGCCCCTTCTTCTGGAATAGGATTGGTCACCTGCTGGTAGAATTGGATAATTACTTCACCCAAGGAAGCACTCTTTATTCAAAAAATAATTCCTGGTTCATTTAATTAGCATTCTAATCAAATCAGTCCTTGCAGTCTGAGCTATTTTAATATTTCTAAATAATAGCTTTTCTATTATACTGAAAGAATGGAAGCTTTAGTTTATACAGGAAGAAAAATAATTGGAACTGTGTTGAGCAATAGCCGTGAGAATGTGGCAGGAGGTGAGTGGATGCTACAAGCAAAATGAATTTCCCTCTCATTGCTTGAGTCTCTAGTAAAACAAAGTGTGCAAAATGGTGCCACTTGATTTTTCAGGTTCTCAAATTAAGGTAGTTTTTTGATGGATTGATACCCAGCCTTCTGAAGGGAAGTGTTTTGACTTTGCTCACTTGACTAAGCAAAGTGGTTTTAGTAAATAAAATTGCTTTGAATGATAATATTTTGTTTTACTATACAGTATATTTTTAATAAATCAGAATAAAAAAGAAACATTTTAGTGGTAAAGTTATTGCAACTAATTTTAATATATGCCTACTCAAGAATAGGCTATTGTGATTTCTAATCAAAGTGATTATTTTCTCCCAAATTAAGATTTGGTTCCATTTACAGGTAAATAGTGTTGACCTCAGAGCTGCCAGTCATGAGCAGGCAGCAGCTGCATTGAAAAATGCTGGCCAGGCTGTCACAATTGTTGCACAATATCGACCTGAAGGTAATAAAATTCTGTTGTCTATAGTTACTCTTATTTTAGTTTTTAAAATTCTTCCTCTTAAATATTGTTTAACTTCCAAGCTTAACTTCCTTTTTTGTGCTTTTTTCCAATTTGTTAATCTAGCATTTGTTTAGTCTGAACCTAGTTCCTTTTCCAGATGAAAAGTATTTTTTAATGATGTGGGAACTGGTATCCACAAGTACTTTTGAGCATTGCATCATTATGTGGGTTAATTTGTTTATGTTTTTAATCTGTTCTGTAACTGAAGTCGTCATACCTTTTAATGTCCCTTTTACTACTTTATTGATCTGAAAAAAATAATAAAAACCATTAAGCAGAGATAATGCCCAAAAAACTTTAGGTCACCCAGATTTTTTCTAGCTTTTGAATTAAGTTATAATTATTAATATCAAGATTTAAGGCATGTTTCTAATAGCTGTTACTACTATTTAAAATAAAAGAGAAGAATGCCAAGTTTGGGGTATAATGTGTATCTAAGTAGTAAAATATCATTGATGTGACCTTATTAAGTTCCTAGGGGAAAAGGCGGGAATGGAAAATTTGATATCATGCCCTATTAAACATATGTAAGACTCCAGTGTACATCAACATAACCGCGTCTGCAATCACACCTCAGAGGAATTTAAAAAGCTTAAATACCCAAAAGAATTTATAGCCTATTTGTTGATGCTCATAAACAACATGATAAAGAAGGAAAAATGACGTAAGGAGCTAAATTAATAATTCTGTAATTTAGCAATTAATTATATTTATTATTCTTTTTTGGGGCAGGATTTATTTTTTTAATCTAGTATGTCTTTTAGCTGATCAAAGTAGCATGTTGAGCATTGCTTGGTATTTCTTAAGTATAGGAGTTTCTATCAATCTAGTAAAACCTTAGCCTTTTAGGCTCAGTAACTAAACAAGGGAAAATTGTTTAATTGGGAGTAAATTTCAAATATTAATTCACATCAACCAAACAAATAGGGACTAACATATGAAGTCAGAATGCCAACTCATTAATTTTTGTGAGAAACAAGTCTGCCAGTGGGACCCCACATACTTTTATCTTCTGGCCAACACACTCCCATCCAGTGGGTACACTATATGGAAGCCAAGTTACAGTCACTGGTTCTTTAGTATTACAGACAGCATCTCATTTATGTTTATAAGGAATGTAAACTTTTTAGATGTAATTAAGTGTAACTTAATATCTGCTCCTTAACCTCCCCAGAAAACACACAAAAACAGTAAGAAAAATGAAACATACACACATGTTCTTACCCATACAACTTCACTTCATATTAACTAAAACTAAGAAGATAGGTATAATACCTGGACAACCAAGTACAGGTAAAGACTCCTTCAGCAGCTGAGGTCTTGCGGAAGCCACATGGAAAGAGGGGAAGAGTTAAAATATGGAATGTTAAGAATGCTTTCTGGTGGCAGAATTTTAGGATATGGTATAAAATTGCACCTCTTAAAGGTGAGGGGCTCATTTCATAAGTATAAAAACGTGACCCTGTGTTTTTTATTGCAAGCCTCATGTGAAGTGGGGTGAACAGGCTGGAGCAGAAGCCACTCGTGGTTTGGTTTAGGAAAGCAGAGGACTCATATTTGGATAAAGCATCCTGTCTCTCTAGATCAGATAATGTGACAGTATTTGGGTTTTAAAAGCTGTAAAAATTTACTATGCATACATCTTTCCTGCACCCCTAGACTTTCTGGAAATAGCTAGTCTAACAAAATCTAGCAAAGTAATCAGTAATTATCTTTTTTTTTTTTTGAGATGGAGTTTCACTCTCACCCAGGCTGGAGTGCAGTGGCACGATCTCGGCTCGCTGTAACTTCCGCTTCCCAGGTTCAAGTAATTCTCCTGCCTCAGCCTCCCGAGTAGCTGGGATTACAGGCACCTGCCACCACGCCCCGCTTATTTTTGTATTTTGGATAGAGACAGGGTTTCACCATGTTGGCTAGTCTCCTGACCTCAGGTGATCCGCCTGCTTTGGCCTCCAAAAATGCTGGTATTACAGGCATGAGCCACTGCGCCCAACCCCAGTAATAAGTAATTTAAAAGTTGCCTTACATTCATACAAAGATAAGAGGTGGGGAAAAGCATCAAAGCTTAGTAGATTAGCTACACGTACACACAACACACGTTGTAGATTAGCTACGTGTACACACAACACAAAAACCTTAACACAAATCAGATGAAAATTTAACCTTAATGTTTTGCAGTTTATGCATTCACTTTGAAAGAAGACCGCAAAGTAGAAATATAAGAACTATAGGAAAAGATGAGTCAATAACCAAAAGAAATTAACTTTGAGCTGGCGGAACCTAGGAGAGAAGAAAGCAAACGCGAGTTAGTGAAATTAGACCACAAACACGGAGTCACTGCAGAAAACTCAGCAGGAAACATTAGAAGATAAAATAGAAAAAGTAAACAAAATGAAACAGAAATAGTGAGTCTGAGAAGACTAGAAAGAAAATGTTAGCAATAGAAGATAGAGGATATTACTGTAATATCCTCTAACAGGTCTCCTAACTTTCCATACTGTATATATAATTCGACTTTCTGATTTTAAGGAAAAGAATGAATGTCTTAACTTATAATTCAGTCAATTCAAGAAAACTTTCCTGAAGTAAAAAGAAATCAATTTTTATATTAAAAGGGTACAGCATAATACAAGGAAAATTGACTCAGAATGGCCAAAATTCAGACATATTCTTGTTAATGTTAAGAAAGAATTTGGGGGGACCCAGGCAAAAATAACAAGTCATGATAGAGTAGTGAAAATTGGTTGATAGGAAATAAAAGACTACTCTAATGCTTAGTGAGCACAGAACAGAACAAAAAGTTAATTCACTTGTAATCCCAGCACTTTGGGAGACTGAGGCAGAAGGATTGCTTGAGCTCCGTACTTCAGCACCAGCCTGAACAACAAAGTGAGACCCCATCTCTACAAAAAAATTAAAAATTAGCCAGGCATGGTGGAACATTCCTGTGATCCCAGCTACACAGGAAGCTGTGGCTGGAGGATCACTTGAGACCAGGAGATCAGGGCTGCAGTAAGCCATGATCATGCCACTGCACTCCAGGCTGGGCAGCAGGGAGACCCTGTCTCAAAAAATATATATATTAATTTTTACCATTGTAATAGTTAGTGACCCTTAAATAAGGTTAATTTATCCACATATGCACTAAATATACTTTGCACTGATAGTTAACAAGGATGGGCTACTCTTATCCTAGGTTAGTAATTGAATGGGCCCAGGAATTTCTCTCCCAGACTGTCTTAACAATGTGCTTCTATTGTTTGTTTGCTCGTTCCTTCTTTATTCTTTGTTTTTTGCTTGTTTTTGTGATTTCTGTACTTTTCTTTTGTATGACCCTTTCCAGATGATACTCTTTTTCTTTAATTGTATTCAGTACTTTCACCTATTCTAGTATAGATGAACCCATTTTTGTATCAAAGTGAGTTTGCATTCTTTGATTATTCAGATAGCTACTGTTTAGTAAATATCATCTGTTTCAAGGGTTAGACCCTTATGTTGATTACTCTCATATGTGTGTCTTACTTCCAGACATCTCTTGAACACCACACTTACGTGTCCTATTTGATTTCTTCAGCTGTATTTCTCAATGATAATGTTTCAAATTTAACGTTTATGACACTTAATTTTTTTTTTTTTTTTTTTTTTTTACTATTTCACTAAATGGCATCTCCATTCATGCTTAAGCCAGAAGTTCAGGAATCATGCCTGACTCCCTCCCCATTCACAACGTCCCAGTCACAGCCACTAGTCTAGCCAAAGGCACTATCATCCCTTACCTGAATTACTGTAATATACTCTAACAGGTCTCCTAACTTCTTAATTTTCTCCAATCCATTCCCTATTCCTCAGCCAAAATGGTCTTTTTAAATACAAAGATTTGGGTTGAAGCATTCCCCATTTAAAAAGTACCCATTATACTCTTAATAAAATCCAAATCCTTTAATAGGCCTGCAAAGTTCTTTGTAATTATCACAGCACAGCACACATGATTTTACATCATGCCCTCCAGTCTTTCCTTTTCTCCTTAAGCTCTAACCATACAGGCCTTTTTTCAAACCCTTGACTATACCAGATTATTTCCTAATTCTCTGTTCATTCTCTTCTTTCTTAGAATATTCTTTTCCTCTGTTCTTTCAATGGCTAGTCTATTAGTCCTGTTCTCATGCTTCTATAAGGATGTGCCTGAGACTGGGTAATTTATAAAGGAAAGAGGTTTAATTGATTCACAGTTCCACAGTGCTAGGGAAGCCTCAGGAAACTTATAACCGTGGCGGAAGGGAAAGTAAACATGTCCTTCACAAGGCAGTGGGAGAGAGAAGAATAAGAACCAAGTGAAGGGGGAAGCCCTTGTCAAGCCATCAGATCTCATGAGAACTTACTATCACTAGAATAGCATGGGGGAATCCACCCTCATGATTCATTACCTCCCATTATGACCCTCCCACAATATGTGGGGATTATGGGAACTACAATTCAAGATGAGATTTGGGTGGGGACACAGCCAAACCATATCAGCTAGTTCCTTCTCATAGCACTGATATTTTCACTTTATAACAGTTACACAGTTTATAGTTATATGTTTATTTAGATGTCTATTTATTATGTAAGGCTTTCTGTATCCTCATAAAATAGATAGCAATATCCCTATTTACAGATGATGAAGTAGACTCAGATAACAAAGCTAGTAATAGCTAAGATTCATACCTAGGTCTGTTGCCTTCAAAGTCTAGATAGTTTTCACTGGGAATATCTTGATGAGTGCTTAGTCTGGCGAAGTGATGTATGCTGTATTCCTTTACCATGGCTATGGTACTATTGCCTAATGAAGACTAAGTAAGTACCAGCATTGCACAGAAGACAGACATTGCCTTAGAAATTTAAAAGGAGGGAGATTATATTGCTTGGCATGATAAAAGTTACCATAAAGTGGGATTGAAGTT